AAACCAGAGCCCAGACAATAATAGACAGGACCACACATTGACTGGGCACTGATTAGGCATGTATAACTCTGGCTCTCTACTTAAACAAAAACTCACTTCAGTATCCTGAAGATGGACTGGAAGGGGTCAGTGGATCTCTTTGTCCCTCTTCCCACATTGACCACATTGAATATTTCTTCTTTTTATGACCTGTTCTAGTTTGCTTTCATGTTGCTGTGACAAAACACTCTAGCCAATACCAACTTGGAGAGGAAAGGGTTTATTTGCCCTACATCACCCAGGTCACAGTTCATCACTGAGGGAGCCCAAGGTAGGAACTCAGGGCAGGAACATGGAGGCAAGAGCTGAAGCACAGGCCACAGAGGAACGTTGCTTACTGGCTTGCTCCCTAGCCCATGCTCAGCCTGCTTTCTCAGACAAAACAGAACAATCTACCCAGGGGTGGCACCACCCACAGTGCCACACTTTAACAATCAAGAAAATATCCCATAGACATGACCACAGACCACAGTTCAGTGGAGGTAATTCCCCAACTGAGGCTCCCTCTACCCAGGTGTGTCAAGTTAACAACTAAAACTATCCAGCACACCATCCAAAATTGGGTAAAACACAAGGGAGGAAAAAGAAAGGGAAATATCTACAGATTACCATCCTACTCACCATACTTTCTGTATAGGCCCAATACCCCTCTAGCCCCTAGACAATAATTTATTGAGCACCTTGCTATGTACCACACCTTGGCTGAGGATGGAGCCTATGTCTTGACCTCTTCCTCTTGCAATAAGCAGGCTGCTGCTGATCTCCTCTTCTTCTGGGGTACAGTTTTTTTTTTTTTTGGTCTTTTTGAGACAGGGTCTTCCCGTAGCCCCAGCTCTCCAGGAACTCACTATGTAGACCAGGCTGGCCTTGAACTCACAGAGATCCACCTGCCTCTGCCTTCCAAGTGCTGGGATTAAAGGCATGTGCCACCATGCCCAGCTTTTCATTCTTTAAGATTTATTTTTAATGTTTTTGTTTATGAGTAGGTATGTGTACATATGTATGTGCACATGAGTACAATGCCTGTAGAGGCCAGAAGAGAGTGTCAAATCCCTTAAAGCTATAGTTACAGGCAGTTGTGAGTTGCCTGACATGGGTGCTGGGAACTGAAGTCAAGCTCTCCAGAAGGGTAGCAAATGCTCTTAAACATTGAGCCATCTCTCTAGCCCTGTTTCTTTGTTTGTTCAGCACTGGCTGGCCTGGAACTCGCTCTGTATAGCCTCTGCCTCCCAAATGCTAGACTTAAAAGCATGTGCCACCATGCCCGGCTTCTTTCTCTTTAAAATAGATGTGTGTGTGTGTGTGTGTGTGTGTGTGTGTGTGTGTGTGTCTGTCTGTCTGTCTGTCTGTGTCTGTATATGTGCGATATGTGAGTGTAGATATGTGCATGCCATGACACACATGTGGCAGTCAGAAGACAAGTTCCTGGAGTTGATTCTCTCCTTCCACTTTTATGTGGGATCTGGAGATTGAACTCAGGTGTTGGGCTTTTGTGGCAAGTGATTTACCTGCTGAACCATCTCACTGGTGCCAAGCTGACTCCTTAAGCCCACACCTTGCTCCTGGTAGGAAAAATGAGATTTGTTCCTAGGCTATGCCCTGCCTGAAATGTTCACTCAGACAGCTACCACTGCTGAAACTGCCTTCTGCATGCATCTGTGTGACAACACTGATAACTTTGTAAGAATCAGCCATTATATCCTCTACCACAAAAGTAGGAGCCTGGTTGGAGGTATGGCTCAGTGATTAAGGTGCTTGCCATGCAATCATGAGAACCTGAGTTTGAATACCCAGCATTCAAGTAAACCAGACACAATGGAGGCACCTGTAACCCCAATGCTGAGAGGGGCAGGGTAAAGACAGAAAAATCTCAGGGGCTCATTGGCCAACCAGTCTGACCAAAATGACATGCTCCAGAGACATTATATATTTTTAAAAAATATAGAGAGCAATAAAGGAAGACACTGGACATTGATCTCTGACCTCCACACACATGTGCACACACAGACACACAGATTCACACAAAGATCCAGAAACTTTTCCAAGTCTCACAACCTCAGCAGAAGAGCTTGGATTCCACACCTGGCTGTTGACTAAGTATCTATTATCAGCTATCCTCAGTGAAGGTCCTCAGAACCTGGCCTGGATCGTGGACACGGTTCAGGGTATCAGGGCATGCTCAACAAGATATACAAGAAGCCATATGGTCTGAGGTTTCCTTGTTTGGGTGGGAGTAGACATGCAACTATTCTTTCTCAATTAACATTTCTGTGATTATGAAAGACTTTCAAGGGTGGTCTCGGTTCATAGCATTCTTGCCTAGCATGCAGGAAGCCCTGGGTTTGACCCACAGTACCACATAAAACCAAGCATGGTGGCACATACCTGTAATCCCAGTACTCAGGAGGTAAAGACTGGAGGATCAGAAGTTCAAGGTCATATTTGATGATATGGCAAATTTGAGGGCAGCCTGAGCTACAGACAACCCTGCCTCAAACAGATAAAAGGGCTGGGTGAGCAATCCTGAATCCTCAGCACCCACATAAAACACCGAATATAATAAACCAATTGTGTACCAATAATCTCGGCACTGGGAGGTAAAGACAGGAATAGCCCAAGGGCTCACTGGCCAGCCAGTTAAGCCAGTGGGCGAGCTACAAGTCCAGTGAGAGACCTTGTCTCAATCAAAAATAAGGATGAGAGCAGTAGAGGAAGATATTCAATGTTGACCTTTGACCTCACAAGAGCATGCACATCTGTACCCATACACGCGCGCGCGCACACACACACACACACACAGATTTTCAAGCATCTCTTTCCCCCTAGGAGTCTAAGGATACAAACTCATGAGGACTTGTATAATTGCATAGCCTCAATCTTCAACCTCTGGGACACTTGCTTCTTTTTCTCGGCAGTACACCTGATTTACTAATTCTCCTTAAGCAGAGTCCAGCCCTTCCTTTAAGGAATTGGAATTGTTCTGGGGAGAGGGCAATTGAGGGCAGAGTGCAAATGGAAAATGCTTCTTCCTGGATGAATTGAAGACTGGATGTACTGTGTACTGGTGTGGTGGTGTGTGGTGCTGGCCTTTACTCCCCACGCTTAGAAGGCAAAAGCAGGCAGATCTTTTTGAGTTGAGGCCAGCCTGGTCTATATAGAGAGTACCAGGCCAGCTACGGCTACAGGGAGACTGTCTCAAAAAGAAAGGACTGGAGTTGCCCCTCCCAAAAGCAGCCTCAAGGGAGTTCTCACCATGGGGAGTGCCCTGTGAAAATGTAGTCAGTGGGATTCCAAAGCAAGAAGCACTAACTGCCAGGATGACCAGTCTACAGCATTTATCAGGGGACTTACCTGCAGAGTGGGGCTGTACTGTCTCATGTTGAACAGCAAGTGAAAAATGTTCTACCTAAATATGTCTCTGCTGAGGTTGGAGAGATGACTCAGCGATGGAGAGCACTGACTCCTCTTGCAGAGGACCCAGGTTCGATTTCCAGCACCCACATGGCAGCTAACAACTGTCCTTAACTCCAGTTCCAGGGGATCCGACACCCTCTTCAGACCTCTGTGGGAATTGCATGACCTGGGTGCACTTAAATACATGCAGGCACTGTATTTTATGTGTACACGCATGCACATAAAATAAATATAAATAAATAAAATATAAAAATATGTCTGTCACAGCAAGTTTTTGTTAATGTTGTTTTGTTTTTGTTGTTGGGGGGGCAGGTTTTGTTTCATTTTGTTTTGTTTTTTTGGTTGTTTTTCCAGCTGACCTGGAGCTCATTATGCAGACCAGGGTGGCCTCCATCTCACAGAGATTAATAGCTGTCACAGGAAGTTTATTTGTGTGTTGAAGGAATTCGGTTTAAGGATTAGGACTAGTTTCCTTTCAGTGTTTTGAGTACCAACCTAAACACCTTTATCAATGCCTGGGATTGTTGACAGCTCTGGCTTGGGTTCAAGCCTACAGGGAATAAAAACAAATAAACGCATGCATCTGACAGCGACAGAACTGTCAAGGCACTCTGTATTTCTTGGTCAAAACAAGAGAAAGCCAGGTCTGGTGTTGCACCCCTACAATCCTAGCACTCAGGAGACAGGCAGGTGGACCTCTGTTAGTTGGAGGTCAGCCTGATCAATAGAGCATGTTCAGGGCCAGCCAGGATCACACAGTGAGACCCTGTTTTTAAACAAAACAAAAACAACAACAAACACAAACAGAGGACTGGAGAGATGGCTCAGTGGTTGAGTGCTTGCTATTCTTGCAGAGGACCTAATTTCAATTCCCAGAACCCATATCAAATGGTTTACAACCTCCCATAACTCCAGCTCTAAGGGATTCCATGGATACCTGTATGCACATGCACATAGACACACATACATACACATATTTTATTTATTTATTTATTTATTTATTTATTTATTTATTTATTTATTTATTTTGGTCTTTTTGAGACAGGGTCTCCCTGTAGCCCCAGCTGGCCTAGAACTCACTATGTAGACCAGGCTGGCCTTGAACTCAAAGAGATCTGCCTGCCACTGCCTCCCAAGTGCTAGGATTAAAGGCGTGGGCCTGGCAGACATTTTTTTTTTTTAGTAAAATAAATCTTTTTAAAAAAAACACATACAAAAAGAAATACCTTGCTTCCCAATTTCAAGTCAGGAAATGTGATAGAATGATTTAACCAATATATCTCTCTCAAATACTTTTTTTTTTTTTTTTTTGTTTGAAGCGGGGCTCCCCTTGACCCCACAGCGTACGGGGACCTCACTATGAAGACCGGGCGGCCTTAGACCAAACAGAACCCCCCCTGCCTCTGCCTCCCGAGTGCTGGGATTAAAGGCGAGCGCCATCACGCCCGGCAATACTAACATTCTTTTTAAAATTTTTAAACAAGTTGAGCGTGGTGGCTTACATCTGTAATCCTAGCACTTGGAAGGCAGCGGCAGGAGGAATGTCAGGAGTTCAAGGCTAGTGTGAGCTACATAATGAGTTACAGGCCAGATTAGGCTGCTAGAGTGAGAGACCCTGTCTCAAAAGAGAGAGAGGGAGAGGGGAGATGAAGGGAGGAAGAGAGAATTTTTAAACAAAGGAGTAGGTGGGGAGAAGGGGGACTTGTTCTTCATATTAACTTGGGTCCTTGAGCTTTATTCTCCCTCTGGAGTCCATAGATGAAGTTGGTAATCTCGTCCACAAACTCCCGGTTACGCACCTGAGAAAAATCAAAAGCTTGAATTAGAGTGGTGGGAAAGTACTAGTAATCAAAACTAGGAAAAATTGAAGGAAAAAAATGGGGCTGAATCCCCAGGATTGGGAGCAAAGTACTGACCTAAGGTTCTGGTGTGGTTCATCCTTTCCTCTGTGTACCATAGAAGCCTGAGGCGCTTGAGTCATCCCCCTGGCACGGAGTGCCTGACTGCCATGAAGAATTCTTCCTGTTTTGGTCTCTCCCTGCAAAATACTTCATTGTAATTATTTACTAAAAGTGAATAGGGCTGTTAGGAGGAAGAGAAGTGGGGAAGTGACTAGAGTTCACATAGAAGAGGAAAAGAGTGACATCCCAGGATTACATAAACTGTCAGAGGCTGCCAAAGAAGATAAATAAGCTGGTGGAAACTGGGAGCCCCAGAGCACCAGCTCAATAGGAAAGAAAACAGCTGCTCTCTGCCACAGAACTTCTCCGAACTTACCGACCATGGTGAGTTACTCGGTCCTGGGGTGGGACAGGGACCACTGGAGGAACCCTCGAAACTGGTTGGAGCCTCCCTGACCTCCGCTGTCTCCCCAGGAGTGCGTGCTCTGCTTGTTACTGTTCCTACTGACGCCAGTGCACATCTCTGCCAACATGCCGGAGCCCTGCGAGCTGGAGGAGGACGCAGTCCACTGCGTCTGCAACTTCTCAGATCCAAAGCCGAATTGGTCCAACGCCTTGCAATGTATGTCTGCGGTGGATGTGAAGTTCTACGGCGGGGGCCGCAGCCTGGAGCTGTTTCTAAGGCGTTTGGACCCCAGCACTGACCTGAAGGAGTACGTTGATATTGTCAGGTCTCTGCGCTGGCAGCGGCTCACGGTGGGAGGGGTACGGGTGCCTGCTCCGATGCTCTTCGGAGTCCTGCGAATGCTAGGGCATTCCGGCCTCAGCGAGTTGACCCTGGAAGACCTAGAGGTGACCAGCACCACGCTGCCACCACTTCTGGAAGCCACAGGGCCTGATCTCACCACCCTGCGTCTCCGCAACGTGTCGTGGGCGACAGGGGATGCTTGGCTCGCAGAACTGCAGCAGTGGCTCAAGCCTGGACTCAAGGTACTGAATATTGCCCAAGCACAGTCGCTTAACTTTTCCTGCGAACGTGTCCGCATCTTCAGAGCTCTTACCACCCTGGACCTGTCAGACAATCCTGGACTGGGCGACAGCGGGTTGGTCTCGGCTCTTTGTCCCCAGAAGTTCCCGGCCCTCCAAGTTTTAGCGCTACGCAATGCGGGGATGGAGACGCCCAGTGGCGTGTGCAATGCGCTGGCGAAGGCTGGTGTGCAGCCGCAAGTACTAGACCTCAGTCACAATTCGCTGCGGAATACAGTAAGCCCAGGAGCTCCTGGGTGTGTGTGGCCCAGCTCGCTAAACTCCCTCAATCTGTCATTCGCCAGGCTAGAGCAGGTGCCTAAGGGGCTGCCATCCAAACTCAGCGTGCTTGATCTCAGTTGCAACAGGCTTAATAGCAAACCTCGGCCAGATGAGTTGCCGAAGGTGGATAACCTGTCACTGAAAGGGAATCCCTTTCTGGACTCTGGAACCCAAGAGTACACCAGGAATTCAGGCATGGGCCCAGCCTGTGCGCGTTCATCCCTGGCGGTGGGCATATCGGGGACTCTGGCTCTGCTCCAAAGAGCCCGGAGATTTATCTAAGGCCCAATGGGGGAAAAAAATGAATGGACTTACATTGCCCTGGCTTCTGCGGGGGGTCCCAGTCAAGACGAATCAGCACTTCTTGACGAACTAATCCTCTGCCTTACATTTATTAAAATCTGGAAACCACAATGTTTAAAAAAAAAAAGTAAATAAACGAATAAAATAAAGAATGGTAAAGGGCTTGCTGCCAAATTTGATGACCTGGTTTTGATTCCCAGGATTCTCATGGTGGAGGAGAAACAATTTCTACAAGCTATCCTCTGTCCTCTACACACTATACACGTTCTGTGGTACAGGCATGTGCACACAATAAATAAATAAATAAAATGTAAAAAATTTAAAATAGCCTGAAAGCACCAGTCAATGTTATTTACTCCACAGATCTTTACTTGGTGTCTGCTATGTGTCGGGCTCTATGCTGGGTGGGAATTCATACTTAGACATTCTTCATCCCAACTCCATAGGAACCCTACCTCCCTTTGCCAAGAAAAGAAATGCACGGACAAAAGAGACAGAGCTGTGGGAGACAATGTGTAGTGGTGGCTTTTTTAACAAATTACTAACACTTCGGATAAAGGATGGTTGAATAGTAAACATACCTTGGAAGGTGCGAATGTTTTTTTCCCCTGTGCATTTTTCAAGAGTCAAAGGCAATAAAACTTGAGCCATTTTTTTATATTCTTTCTTCCTCTCCCACCCTTTAAGAGGAGAGAAACAAAGATGCCTCCTATCCTTCATAAGCTTTGAGCTTTGTAATTCCAAAGGTCCTCTTCAGTAGTATGAAACTTTGATCTCACATGTATGGTGGCTTTCATTATGTTTCTCCCCCACATAATGGGGGTTTGGGCATGGGAAACAGATAAGATGGTCTATCTTCAAACCACAGATCTGCTGTTCTGGTTGTACACGAAGATAAACCTTCCAAGCTGCTTTGCTGATTTTTTCAAAGGATAACATCTCATCCCCTTTGAAAGTTCTGTATGAACTGGATGTTTCCTCTAAACTACATTAATTCAGAAAACAAACAAAAATTTCATTTGTTAAAGTCCTAATGCAGGCAGCCGGGTATGGTGGCACATGCCTTTAATCCCAGCACTCAGGAGGCAGAGGCAGGTGGGTCCATGTGAGTTCAAGGCCAGCCTGGTCTACATAGTGAGTTCCAGGACAGCTGGGGCTACAGGGAGACCCTGTCTCAAAAAGACAAAAAAAAAAAGTCCTAATCCACAGAGTAGCAGCATTTTGGAGATAATTAGGTTAGTTAAGGCTGGGACCCTGATTCAGTAGAATTAGTAACCTTATCAGAAGAGATACAGAGAGTCCACACATTTTCTCTCTCTTTCACCCATATATAAACTAATGTGAAGACATATAACATAATGTGAGAAGGTGGTCACTTGCCAAAAGTGAGCTTTCATTAAAATCCAACAATGCTGACCCTCAATCTTGGATTTCTAACCTCCAGAACTATGAGAAAATACATTTCTGTTGTTGAAGCTACCTAGTCTATGATCTCAGAAAAAAGTGGTGGTGATGTGTCTGTATGTGATAGTGCTATGAAAAGGAATGGAATAGAGAAAGGGGACATAAATATTGAGGACTGATATGTTATATAGGATTTCAGGAAAGGCCTCTCTATAAGGAATATTTGAACAGAGATCTAAATGAATTGGAAAAGAAAGTTTGATGATATATGGGGGGAATATCACTTCAGGCAGAAAGAAAGAGGTCTTTGGAATGTTAAGAGAGACAGTAAGGAGGTTGGTGTGGCTGCAGCAGGGTAATCAAGGTGGGGAACAGATAAGATATAAGATCAAAGGGGCAAATCACATAGAGTCTTGTAAAACAATACTATTTAAAGTATGGCCCACATCAAGTGCCGGTATGTCTATTACACAAGTCTGAGAATTAAGGATAAGGGGTTACACACTTTTTGGAGTGTCTAGCATATGCTAGACAAGTTCTCTACCACTGAGACACACTATAAGCCTTACTTTTTTTCTGCAGTGTTAGAGATCAAACCCAAGGCCTGAGGTAAGACAACACTGACCAAAGAATAGAGTTGCAGAGGCAGAGTGCTTGCCTGGCATGTGTGAGGCCCCATGTTCTACCCCTAGTATGGAGGGGAAAAAATAGAAGGATGAATTGCATTTGTGGGGATAGATTTGATCAAAACACATTATATATACCTTCAAAATTCTCAAACAATAAAAAAGAGCCAAGTTGGAGGACTCACACTTGAAAATTTCAAAAGCCAAGCATGGTGGTGAACACCTGTAATCTCAGCCTTCTGGAAAGCAGAGGCAAGGAATCATTACAAATATGAGGCCATCCTGGCCTACATGGCCAGTTCCAGGTTAGTCAGGCAGGGCTACATAGCAAGACTCTATTTCAAGTCTCCTCTCCCCTGCAAAAAACCCTCCAAACAAAAAGTAAGCCTACTATAAAGTTACAGAAATTTAAAACAGTGTGGTTGTGTCATATACCAATAGAATAGATAAGATATTCAAGAAGCAAGTCCTACATGACCAAAACATTTTGACAAGGATGTCAAGACCATTCAAGGAAGAAAAGACAGTCTTTACAGCAAATGGTATGGAAAAAAATGGATATCCATAAGGAAGAGAATGAAGTTGGGTCCTTACTGATACCACATATAAACACTGAGGATATATGACTCAAATGCAAGTTCTAAAACAACTCTTAGATGAAAATACAGTGCAAAAACTTCACAACAGGGATCAGAGAGAGTGCAACTGTTAAGAGACTCTTGGAACTCTTCCAAAGGACCTGAGTTCAATTCCAAGCACCCATGTCAGGTGGCTCCAGAGGATCAAATGCTCTCTGCAAGGGATCCGATTTATATGCACATGCTCATACACACATACACATTTTAAAACATTTATAAAAGAAAAAATTTCACAATAAAGCCAGCATGGTAATTCGCATACTTGTCCCAGAACTCCAGTGACAGAGGCAGGAGGATTGTGAGTACAGCCTGTGCTACATAGTGTTGGGGTCCGAGGAATTCCCCAAATTGACCACTCAGATACTGAGTCTCAGTAAACAAAAGTGCTTTATTGAGGCCAACTGGCTGGGGACACAGACAGTCTTGGGAGCTTTACTGTGACCCCGAGCAGTGAAAAGGCAGAGCTTTTAAGCAGAAAAACCACAAAAACCACAAAGCAGGGGCTGTCCATAGAAACTATACACAGAATATCCAGGAAAGGATTGGAACAATCTAGGGCTGATTTCCAGAGACTTTACCTGTCCAGACATTGGCTGTCTTACCTGGGGCAGAACGTTCTTTCTCTTCTGCCCCAGATTATTCTCATAGAAACCATACACAAATGTATTAGGTATACTGCCATTGGCTAGCTTACCTTGGGCAGAACATTCTATCTCTTCTGCCCCAGACCATTTCCATAGAAATCATAAACAGATACCAGGAAAGGGTTTGAACAATGAAGGGGATTTCCAGAGTCGGGTGGAGGGCAGCTTTTCTTAGACAATAGGGAGGGGGTCTGAGGAGGACTCTCTTTCATTCCCCCTTTTAGTTTTTGGAAGTTCTTGAATCAAACCATTGATTCATATGGGTCGTCTATGAGGTTGTAATGGGCTCCCATTGATTCATACATAGCATCTAGGGGATTATAATGGGCCCTCATAACCATCAGTTGTACAGCAGAGACCCTTTGTTTAATAAACTTAACTAGAGCATTTAGGATACAGGGTCCAAAGATTAACAGTGCTATGAAGATTAAGAGCGGACCAGCTATTGCAGTGATAAGGGTAGTAAGCCAAGGTGACCAGGAGAATAAAGAATCAAACCATTTCTGGGAATCTTTTCTAAGTTCTTCTTGTTCTAGGAGACTCTGTTTTACCTGTGCCAGGGTGTCCTTAATCACACCTGAATGGTCGGCATAAAAACAACATGTTTCTCCTAGAGCATACAGAGTCCACCTTCCTTAAGAAAAAGTAGGTCTAAGCCTCTTCTATTTAGTAGGACTACTTCAGCTAAGGAGTCCATTTGTTGTTCTAAATAGGAAGCAGTGGCATGTAATCTCCTGATATCTTTATCAACTTGTTCACTTAAAACTTTTAAGTTTTGGTCACTTGTGACCCAGGCTGCCATTCCGATGGCAGCAGACCCAGCTATCCTTGTTTCCACGAGGAGAGGAACCAAAATGGAGGCTTCCATAGCTCTTCGAGGCCAAGAGAGACCATATGATGTCTTCCAGCATTCCCCTCAGAGTAATAAACCTGGGGCATAACATGTTCTAGTACACAAAATTCCTGTCTCCCTATGAAATATTGGGGGTGTAAACAAGGGGTTAGGCCAGAGGAGCAAGCAAACCAAGTGGAGCGGGGGGCAGCAAGCAACTGGGTGTCTCCTATAGACCAGGTGTTTCCTGGTACTGTATAGGACTGATTACAAACCTCAAGGTAGGGGGAAGTAGTTAATGGATATTCTTTTGACATAAAGCATAGCCCCTGCCCCTTCAGATCCCCTAGGGTGAAAGTAGTTTCCCAGGGACATGAAGCAGTGTCATTCAGGGGCACTATTTTTAATTCTTGTCTTTTTGCAGTGAGAGCAAAACCTATGTAGTAGGGTGGTCGGGGATCCAGGCAGAGCCAGCAGTCTTTGGTCATCTCAGGGCTCGTATTCTTTAAATATTAGAAGGTAGCCTTCATGGTATTTATGAGGGGCTGTCCTAGAAGGGGAGAGAAATCTTCATCCCTCAGAGGCATTGGCCTTCTAGCCAGGAGAGTGGTCAGGCTGGGAATCAGGTTAGTTGGGGTTTCTGAAGGAGGGGGGGGGGCTAAATCAAGTTTAAAATCTGCCAAAGGTCCTATAGGTCAAGGTGGTAAGGGTTTTGGGAATTTTTGAATTATAAATAGGGTTCCAGCGTCTTTGCCAGATACATAGGCCCTCAGTCCCCATGTGCAGCCTGTGTCCCATTTCTGATCATAGTAAAAACATCCCATTTTTTAGGGTTATAATAAGAGGGTTACAAGTCTTGGAGACCGTACAAGACCTATTTTTTTCTAATTGAATATTTAGGTATGGATCTTGTTGCTTATAACATGTCGGGGCCCATGTCTCACATCCCCAGTATGCACAAAAGTAACTTCCCTCATCATCACAACTAGTCCCAGTGTTTGCTGGGCATGTGTAGAAGGATGTTCCCAAGGTCTTCTCTGCATGTATGGTGCCGGCTCTGCATCCAGTAGCAAGGAGGGATGTTTGTCCAGATGCTCCTGACATTGCTATTGCTACTGATCCCCCAAATGATCCCCCATAGACACTGTGGGCCTCCAGTTGTTTTAGGGAGCCCAGTGTTGGC